AGCTATTTCACTCCTACACACAGAACCCTTCGGTGTCTGCCCTTTGGATTAGCAGTTCCAGTCTCCTCTGCATGCCACCCAAAGGCTGTGTGAACTAACGTACCCAGTCATATCTTGCTCCGCACGCCCATACTCTCTGGTCATATGAGATTAATCTTGATTGCTCAGAGAAACCATCCCTGGGCACAGCTTGGCTTTGATGACTGTCTTCTCTCTCCCTGAGGAGTCTTGCCCTTTCCCTGTATGACATTTGGTGACACCTTCCTCTAGACTTGGTTTAAACATTCCTCTTCCGGGAGAACTTTCTCACACGCCTTTCCCCCCAGTCAGAACCAGGCTTTCAACCCAGTAGCTCTCAGGAAGTGTCATACATATAGATGTTATAGCAACAGCTTTGTATTAGCACTTATGATTTCCTAAATTTATGTTTGCTTCTTTTATTCAGATTTTAGTCCATAAACTTCTCACAAAATTATCGAACATGCCACTAATTTACCGTTGCTAAGAGCAAAGCCTGTGAAGTATTTGTGCTTAGTAACCCCTGTTTAATGAGTGGGTGGATGGATTTTAAGGCTTTAATATATTAGCATTCCAAGAATAAACTGTGTACTTTCACAGTGTATTTTCCTTAATAAAATGCTTTATTCAATTTTACATTCTGCTTAGGAATTTTGCACTTACTCTCCATCTGACATTATCTTCAAGTTGTCTTGTGTTACCTTTGTCTAGTTTTGATTCATGGTAATTCCCGTGAACTTCCTGTAGTAGTTCTATTACACCCCTCCTACTACTCCTTCAGCTTCCTCCAACAGCTAGTTTTGCCTTTTCCAGAATGTCATATTGTTGGACTCACATAATATATACTGTAGTCTGTTCAGACTCACTTGTTTTACTCAGCAATGTGTATTTAAGCTTCCCTCATGCCTTTTTGTTTCTTAGTGCTTTGTTTTTTAAATCTCTGCATAATACTCCATTTGTATGGATGAAGCATGATTTATTTATTCATTCCCCTACTGAAAAACATCTTGATTACTCCTAATTTGGGCAATTATGCATAAAGCTGCTATAAACATTTACATACAGGTTTTGTGTGGATATATGTATTCAGCTCATTTGCATAAATACCTAAGAGCAAAATTGCTAGAAGATGTAGTAACAGTGTTTAGCATTATAGGAAACTGTCAAACTGCCTTCCAAAGTGGCTGCATGATTCAGTATTCACACCAGCAGGGAATGAGTTCTTCTCACATCCTCACCAGCACTTGGTGGTGTCTGTGTTTTGGAGTTTAGGTGTTCAAATAAATGTGAAGTGATATTTCACTGTGGTTTTGATTTGCATTTCTACATGATACATATAACATCTTTCAATGGGTGTGTGTGTGTGTATGTGTGTGTGTGTGTGTGTGTGTGTGTATCTTTTAATGAAATGTCCCTTTACAGCTTTTGTCCATTTTAATAGAATATTTTAATGTTTACATTTGAACATTCTGCATGTATGCTAGATATTTGCCCCATGTCAGTTGTATCTCAACTGTCTGAAGTTCAAAATCAAGGTGTTATCAGAATTAGTTCCTTCTAACTACCCTGAGGAAGACTTTGACCTGAACCTCTAGCTTAGTTCTGATAGATGCCAGGAATCTTTTGCATTCCTTGGCTTATAGCTACGTCACTCAAATTCCTCCATTCATCTTACTATTGCCTTCCCTTCTGTGTGTCTTCTGTGTCATATAAGGACACTTATCACTGGTTTTATGATGGGCCCTTAAGATTATACAAGACCTGGAATTACCCCACCAAGAATTTAGATACCTACCTGATCCAATTAGAACCTGAATGGTTATGATCAAGGGAATTGGAAGACAGGTGTTAGAAACGAAACTTCTTAGCTGTGTATTGTGGCACTTGCCTGTAATCCCAGAACCTGGGAGGCTAAGGTAGGAGGATCGTTGTGAGTTCGAGACCAGCCTGGGCTACAAGTTGAGTTCAAGGCCAGCCTGAACTGCATAGAAAGACCCTGTCTCAAAAAGACAGAAAAAAAGAAAAGAAAAGAAATGAAACTTCTTAAGAAATGTAGAACTTATATTTCTCTTGGCATCAGGGAGCAAGGAGACTCACTCAGAAAATCTCTAATTTTGCGATCATATTTTCTAAGGGGGAAATTTTCAATGATCTAATGATATTGGCATATTTCAGTAGAAAGCAGCAAGCTTAGCTTTTACTCCCAGCATTACGTTATTTGGATGTCATCATATTACTGTGGATTAATTCCAGTGAGTTTAGTTGGACCGTATAGGTGGAAAAGACCACAGGATGTTAACTTTATTTCTACACAGTAGGAATTGCAGGCAAATCTAGTTAAACATGGTCTAGATTAGACGCCTCAGGCTTTCAGAAGAATCATGGGACAACAGAAGAAACTGAGCAACACATCTGCCATCTCAGGGCTCTCCTGCAGATTCTTAGCTCCCAAGGAAAGGTTTGGATGGATGTCTCCATAAAGGGAATCAGGGAGTTCTGATGATCTGTAAATTTTCCCAAAGGATCAGCCATACCCTCTTGTTTGGCTCTGAATTTGTTTTTGTTTTATTATATTGGAAGAAATAAAAAAACACCATTCCTTAGCTTCATTTCATGCTCTTCCTTATTCTCCACTTGTCCCTGTGGATCACCCTGATAAAGAATGAGGCCATCTAACGTCTCCTAAAGGAGTACAGGAGGAAGGAGCAGGATTAAAGGCCAACACATTCAATTGATCCTGGTGCTGGGTGGGGTTTCAGTTGTGACAAGTTGAAAGTCAGGACTGATTTGTCAGACAGATGTGCTTATAAATCAAAGAAATGAATTGAAATAGAACAAGTAAAAAGTGAGGTGGCATTAAAGGTACTCTTGCAATAAAGCTTAGAACAGAAAGAAAGCTGTTGGGACAGGAAGAGCCCTCAGACAGTGGAGCCTGAGACATGGAGCCATCCCCTAGCCCTTCTATTTCAGCAGCCACAAAACTTCTAATTTCTGACTTCAATTTCATTTTCATTTACTTCAAGAGCTAGAGATTCAGTGACTGGCAGCTCAGGACTATTTTTCTCAAGTCTTTGAATTGCCCAGCACCCCTGTAACATGTCCCTTCAATCTCTAGGTCTGAAAATACCAGGGAAGATTTTACTGGCTTAGCTTGGAGAGCATTCCTAGGCTTTGAGCCACTGAGCACCCAACAAGTATAGTTGCTTTACTGGTAACCCTGCATGCTGAGTGCCCTGCCCTGGAGAAAAACAGAACAGAACAATCAACAGAACAGAACAGAACAACACATATTTTGCCTCATATTCAGTGGTAGAATCACTTTTCAGAACAATCTCAGAACAGAACAACCTCAGAATCCTTCCACACTGGTATATTGTTTTTGAACATGTGCTTTAGCCATTGGTTGTCTATGTGTATTTGAGCATGATGTAATAATATAGAAAAAGGGTTTTCTTAATTTGTTTGTTTTAGCAAAAATAAAACTTTTAAAACCTCTTAACTCTGCTGCATAGCTTGTGCATGTTAATTGTTGGTGGAGTTCCCACATTGGATGTTTCCAGTGCATTTCTCAGAGGAGCAAGGCAGCTCCCTCCTTTGGTGTTTTGCCCAACAGACCATGTTAGAGCAAGATTGGTCCTTTAATCCATCCGCTCTTCATTCACTCACTTTAGAGAATAATCAGATACACATTTCCCTATCAGGGCTTTAAACTAAGCCTTGTTTGCCCTTGCTTATTCTTACTTTCATTCATCTTTAATTGCCTTTTCTCCACAGTCCAATTTCAGAATACTGCTTTTCAAAATTTATAAATGAAAATCAGCCAACACTCACCAATAAAGTTCCACTTTATTTAACTTATTGTCTTCTCATCTAATACAATTTGTATAAAGTTAGAAAGATAAACACCAACACTTTTAAGCAACTGCAATTATTACATTCAATCTGACTCACTGAAACTTGAGAACAGCTCCTTCTCAGAAAGTGTGGATTGCTCTGAGAAGAGAGATGATTTCCAATATCATTTCACAGTTAGCTGTGGCGCATTCCTCTGAAGGGATTGCTTGCATCTGACTTTATTACTCTTCTGTAGTGCTTCAAAAAAATAAATATTTTTATTTAATACCTATAATAATATTAAATATTAGTGGTGGGGGAAAGTCCACTAAAAATACTACTAGTACTCCACTAAGAAAAAAAAATTACCCAAGTAAATATATCATCAAGTGTCTTCTTAAACATCTACTCAGTTTAACATGAGATTAATTTTTCTTCTAACTTTTGTGAAGTGAATTAAGTTTGCACTTTACTTAAAATTCAAGCAATCTTGTATTGTTAGATGGATCCTAGCTTGCCACTGTTACCTTTTCTAAAACTTTTATTAATTTTGTTATGCTGGGGATCCAACCACAGGCCTTGTGCATGCTGGCCAGGCGCTGTAATACTGAGCTGCATCCCCACTCCATCCTCGCTAACCTTTCAGTGGGCTTTCCAGGATTGGTTGTTTACATTTAAAGGAAGGTTTGTAGAGTCTTATTCATAATTCAGACTGTTTCACACTTAATAGCATGTTTTCTTCATTTGGGTTTTATCGTATTTCTACAAAATATGAATGAGGTTCATTAGCTATTGATTTATCCATTCTCTAAAGGTCTAAGAGGAAACACTCATGGAGACCTGAAGCTCGAGTGTTAGGTCACTGATGACTCCAACATTTTTCTCCATACTTCTTAGTCCTCACTGCTTCATAGGTTTATTTCCAGTTATTTATATTACTGTTTCAGAGACTGTTACATTTCATCAATAGTTTCAAATATATTAACATAGATTTTTTTTTTTTTTTTTTTTTTTTTTTTTTTTTTTTTTTTGTCTTTTTTGAGACAGGGTCTCGCTATGCAGTTCAACCTGGCCTTGAACTCACTTTGTAGCCCAGGCTTATCTCGAACTTGAACTCACAATGATCCTCCTGTCTCAGTCTTCCCAGTGCTGAGTTTACAGGTGTGGGACACCACGCCCAGCTCAACATACATTCTTTAAAACTATGCCTTTATACTTTTCAAACAATTCCTAAATTTATTTTCCATCCCTAAGTTTCCAAGAGGTTTAATAATTTCCAACAAACAGTTCTCATGTGTATTCAATTCTTGGGGATAATTTTGAGGACATAAGCATTGTTAAGAAGGTAATTTTTAACTGCAAATTTTAAACAGATTCTTGCAAGCTTGATACAAATGTGAAGACTCCTTTGTTTTGCAGTGTTTGAAGAATTTGGGCACTTTTGATTTTGGATAGAAATTTTATATTTGCTGCTTTGTTGTTCTCAGGTACTTCTGTAGGTGTTTACTAACAAGGAGTGCTAAAAATCAACAAATATTTTGCCTCATATTCAGTGGTAGAATCAACTTTCAGTAGTAGAACCAGTATTTTCAGTGGTAGAATGCAGTGTCTGAAACTCCTGAGTAGGTAGTGATAGAAAGCTCAAGTTTTGGTATGTTGTATTAGCCCTATCATTTATCACTTTTCATGACATCAGGTTTTTCAGGCATTTTCTAAGTGTTTCATGTAATCTATCAAAGATTTGCATCTTGGTTTGTTAACAAGGCATGCTTTATAGACTTTAAGGAGTGCAAACCTCTTAGAGACTTTAGAAGTACCTTGCTGAAAGATACTCGAGAAAGCTTGCAGCAAAATGGAGATTTGTGTGGTTCTTAATAATGTCCTGTAAGCATTAGAGTTTACAAGTCATTTTTCTTTATTTCTAATTCAACCACTTAATCTAACTCTACCCTCACTTTAATTAGGGATAGATGGCTAGATGTGCTAGGGGTACCCTCTACCCAAAGAAGTCCCAACATGGGATTTCATATCTTCATTCTCAGGGGGTCACAACCACCCCCTGACATGTGCTCAATTCCTAAGGATGCTGGCGTCTCCACCGCCAGGATTCAGCTAGCAGGGCTGTTTCATTACCCCTAACTGGGTTCTGACACAGTTCCACCCAGGATCCTAAATTCCCGTGTCAGCATTACTGAGTACTGAAATGAAAGCCTCTGTAAACAGAAGGGCAAGTTCTGGATCCTGCTCCTTTGAGAAAGCTGCAGTCAGTTAAACTTGTGCTGGGGAATCACTCTGTAATCCTTCAGTAAATGCAGCTCTCTTCCCCCTCCAAGCAGCTCCAGCCGCTCGATGGTCTGAGTAACATGCGAAGAGTTCAGCGCTGGTGTTGGCGGTGGCGACAGCCAGTATCGGGCCAGCAGCGCATCCTGGATCCAAAGCCTTGAATACGCTGCACCCCAACACGGGCTTGTAATGGTTTGGACAACTGCTTCAAGAAAGATGACATGGGATGGCTGAGTCTGCCAGCCGCGTCTCCGACTAGATATGATGCCAAGATCCTAGGTACTGAGAGGCCCTTGCGGAGTTGGAGGTGGACTCAGCGGGCGGTTGGGAACCAAGGAGATGAGCGCTTAGCCCACGCCCTTCCACGCTGAAACAGCTCAGAAGATTCTGTTGTAAGAAAAAAATTACCGTTACGGCGGTTTCCTGGCCTATTTACAGCCTTGGTGCAGATTGTGGCTCATCTGATTACATAGCCATCCATCCAATCAGAAAACCTTACAGGTTTCACCTCATTTATATACAAGCTGGTATCCAATCACATACTGATTTTTTTTAAAAAAAAAATCATTTGCATACCGTCCTATAACTACCACACCTCCATTTTTCTATTTTGAAGAGAATAAAAAATAATTTAAAAAATTAGAAATGATACAGAATTTCAAAATACAAGATGATAGGAATTCAACAGTGCTTGCTATATAGCATATTGTTGTCTTCAAAGTAGTTGTGCAGATTACCAGATATAAGCATGTAAAATTGGTCAAAAAAAATTAAGCATGAACTGTTCCTTTCAATAAACCAATAGACCTCCCCTTGAGTCAACACAGTTTGAACATTTTGAATGTTCTTTTGCAATACCAGGCTTACACAAAACTGCACCAAAAAGGCTTCTAGAAGGTGGTCATTAAGAGCAGAAGAAAGAGGTGTGAGTAAGCACAGGACAGGCCACCAAGAGGGATGTTCACATCTAGGTACGGCAGCAAGTGTAACCCAATTCCAAATCTCTTCCAAGGCCTTGAGCTTTGTGAGTCCTTTTGTCTTTGATACCTTTGAATGCAACTCTGGGAGCGCCAGACAGCCACGTGGCTGCTCCTGCCAGGGAACCTGGCCACACACGTGCTGTCTGAGGGCACTCAGACCGTCTCCAAATACACCAGCAGTGAATAAGACTTTCCTGGCGAAGATCGCAAGCTTTGTTGTTTAAGAGTGAGAAGCTCGAGGTTTGTCAAGTGTGTTTATTCTACTTTAAGCCATTTTCTTTTTCTGTTGTTTGTTTTGTTTTTTGTCTTTTTGAAACAGGGTCTCACTACACAGTTCAGGCTGAACTTGCGCTCACTTTGTCGAAGCCATTTTCTTTTACAATTGATTATGAAGCAAGCAGAATAGATAACTACACTGGTTCAGTAGTGTATGGATTTGCTAACTGTCACACTTTTAGTGAAAACTCATCTCCAGTGAAGCACTTCAGAGAGCCCTTGGTGTAATCCTAGCTCTGAATGGGTGTTTTCTATTGATGAACGCTGTGGAGAGCCGAGTTTCACCATTTCCAGGTCATCTCTTGCTAAGTCAAACCCTTCATTGGGTAACTGAGTCAAAGGGGCAGACAGCTGTAGACCTGGGAAGGCCTTAGAGAAGTCTGACCCAGGAGCATTAAGGCTAATTTTCTCCCTATTTATATTGACTGGTGTATGGAGGGGATAAAGTTCCCCATGGTTCAGGCTACCTGGGATTTCAGTCGCAGAGCTCAGGGTACCATCTGTACATTTCTCCAGGCTCTCGACAGTTGTTTTCAGAACAGGTTGGAATTGAAGTGTGAAAACCCTATCTTTTTGTTTTTGGAACCCAACAAGTTGGCTAACCAATCAACAGACTAAATTTATGGTTGTGCTCTAGATGTGAGCCAGGGTCTCTCACACTCTAGGCAAGCACTGTACCAGAGCTACATCCTCAGCCCTGAGCATTCTCAGTGTTAGGATCATACTGTTGGAGACACACTGGATTAATCTCCTAACGAGAAGCCTGCACGCACTGGGGAAATTAATCAACATGAGCAAATTGCTATTGAAATTAAAGACCTGTCTGGTTTATCAAGTAACAAGCATACAGTCTCTTCCTTCAGAAAGCGTAAGTGGCTCTTAAAAGAGCCTTTGTTTTGGAGGTAAGGTCAGGTAGACGTCTCACTTGGAGCTGGTGTACTTGGTGACGGCCTTGGTGCCCTCGGACACGGCGTGCTTGGCCAGCTCCCCGGGCAACAGCAGCCGCACGGCCGTCTGGATCTCCCGTGACGAGATGGTCGAGCGCTTGTTGTAGTGCGCCAGGCGCGACGCCTCGCTGGATACACGTTCAAATACGTCAGAGACAAAGGAATTCATGATGCTCATAGCCTTGGAGGAGATGCCCGTGTCTGGATGAACCTGCTTTAGCACCTTGTAGATATAAATGGAATAGCTTTCTTTTCGGGATTTCTTGCGCTTCTTCCCTTCCTTCTTCTGAGTCTTAATGACAGCCTTCTTGAATCCCTTCTTGGAAATTGTGGCAACTTTTGAAGTTAACTCCGGCATTGCTAAGTGAACAGCTCTACAACATTCAACTCCAGGTTGTGAAGAAAGGCAAAGCCAACTCAACAAAAGCCGTTAGGAGCTGGCAAGAGCGGTATTTATAGGTGTGGCATTCAAATGAGTATGGCTACCCACCATCTGATTGGATAACGGAAATGACCAGTATGTAAATGAGGTGATTCCAGTAAGGTTTTTCTGATTGGCTAAACCGTCATCCAGCTGGCAAATCACAGCCTGCCATCAGACTATAAATAAGCCCCTTAACGGTTGTTTGAGCTCACATCTTCCTTTTCGTCGTCTGTAGAGGAATGTCTGGACGCGCAAAGCAGGGTGGCAAGGCCCGTGCTAAGGCCAGGTCTCGCTCTTCCAGAGCTGGCTTACAGTTTCCTGTGGGTCGTATATACCGCCTGCTCCGACAGGGCAACTATGCGGAGCGCATCGGCGCTGGAGCCCCGGTGTACCTGGCGGCAGTGCTCGAGTACCTGACGGCCGAGATCCTGGAGCTGGCGGGCAACGCTTCCCGCGACAACAAGAAGACGCGCATCATCCCGCGCCACCTGCAGCTGGCCATCCGCAACGATGAGGAGCTCAACAAGCTGTTGGGTGGAGTGACGATCGCACAAGGTGGCGTGCTGCCCAACATCCAGGCCGTGCTGCTGCCCAAGAAGACCGAGAGCCACCACCACAAGTCTCAGTGCAAGTGATCCCTGCGAGTCACCAAAGCAGGAAGAAAGACCACACAAAAGGCCCTTTTCAGGGCCACCCACTATTTACAGAAAGAAGGCTGTGCACAGGCTACAAAGGCTAATAGTTGTGTAAACCTGCAGAAGTAGATAGCTAAAATTCATTTTAGTTTTTAAGAACTTGTGTCTAGAAACCAGTTATTGGTCCCTAAGTCTCAGGTGTTGTGAAAAGTCTCCATACACTTGTGGACTTAGGACTCCTGCCAGTGTAGACCTGCTTTAGAATTTTTTTGGTTTGGGGTGTGCTGGAGATTGAACTTAGCCTTTGTGCTGAGGTATGGTTCATCCCCAGCGACAACACTGCAAAACTGCTGTTACCCAACTTGGAATCATGCTGGGATCAGGATGTCTCCACCCCTAGCTGACTGCTGTCATAGTGGAAACATACCAAGCCCTTACTGGCTACAATGCCACTTTTAGTTCACATTTTTGAGTGTTTGGGAGAAAACAGCTTAAATTACTGCAGCATTGATAACCTGTGGTTTTGGAGGCAGTGTGAAAGTAATCCTATCTTAGTTTACTTCACTGAATTAAACAGTAACACATTGATGGGATCACAAGAATACATCACCCCGAAGCTTTTAACTCAGCTCGGGCAATCCTATGGCAGTTTGGCAAGGCTCATGGCTGTCCAAAAGTATGTTCTAGAAAGGACTTTCTTCCCAACACCATAGTTTCAGTATGGTAAGGTAACATAGAAGGAAACCAAAAGTCACAAAGCAAGTTAAATCTGAAAATTTTTTGTAAGTCCTTGTGTAACAGAGCATATGTGAGCATCTGATATTCATACAAAGTAAAGAATAACAGGATTAAGTTATTGAACAAGATAAAAAGAAGCCTATTGTGTGACTGTGAAATACTAGTGCCAGGGCTGGGGATTTAACTCAGCGGCACAGCACCTGCCTGGCAAGAGCAAGGTCGTGAGTTTGATTCTCGGTACCAGAAAAAAAAAAAAATACTAGTGTCTTAGTGTGCGACTGTGACAGGCCTATCATAATTATTTGAAATTTACAATTTTGAAATTTATAATTTGAATTTACAATTTTGAAATTTACAATTTGGCTCTCGGTCTTCTTGGGCAACAACACGACCTGGATGCTAGGCAGCACACCGCCCTGCACAACTGTCACTCCAAGCAACAGCTTGTTGAGCTCCCTTAATATTTCAAAGGTGCTAACTGCTAAAAGAAGGCAAAATAGTTGATCTGTTTGCACCATGAACACAGAAATTGAAAGGCACATTGCCATTTAGTGAGGACTGTCACATTTTCAGTTTACTACTCAGACCAATTCCCTGTATAAATGTTCCACTCTTAACAGTCTTTGGGTCTTCATTTCCTTATGAAGGCTCTCATACCAGGTAAAGTATGCAGGAAACTTGTAGGCTTCCTTTCTGTGCATCTGTCTTATGTCAGTTTAATTCTCAGGACCAACCAAAAAACCCTAAGAGAGTAGGGGTGAAGATTTGCTGCCTCTACAAAATCATGGATTGCTCATCAACATCCATAGGCATCGTAGAACAATAGAATAATATCTTCAAAGTTCTGAGGCAAAAATAACTCCCAATTTTTGGGAGGTGGTGTTTTCTTTTTGTTTTTTGTTTTGAAACAGGGTCTTGTTATGTAGGGTAAGTTGGCCTTGAACTCCCTTATGTACCCCAGGCTGGCCTCAAACTCACAGCAATCCTCCTGGCTCAGCCTTCTCAGTGCTGGGATTATAGGTGTTTGCCACCATGCCCAGGATAACTCCCAATGTAAAACTATACTCAGATACACTTTTGTTTTGTATAAGAGTGAAAAAATTATTGAGGAAAGATTGGGAAGCTTTATGACTCATAGATGCTTCCTGAAACAACCACCAATAAAATATACATTGAAATAAGGAGATTGATACGTGAGAAGTAATAATGTTACAAAAAGACAGGTAGAAGTGTAAATTAATCTAAATAAATATACTAGCTGTAAAAAGTAATTGGGAGTATTTTAAAAAATTGTTAGAAAACATGAGACAGTAATTATAGAAGATGAAAGAAATTATACCAATTCTAATATCCTTGTATTGTTTCTACAAAGATAGGTATCATTAATTGGTCATATTTTCTTACTTTGGGTATATATTTTATGATATTAAATGTAGCCACATAAATTTAACAATTAGAAAATCAATTAATCCAATAGAATGCAGGAAATCACAAAAGGAAAGACATGGCAGATTAGAATGCAAAATGAAATATTAGATGTGATTCTAAATAAATCAGGTATCAAAATTAAGGAAAACTGGTGAGTACTGTTTAGAGTAATTTATTATACATTTCAAAATAAAAGAGGGGAAATGCTAATATCTTGATTTGATCAATGCATTTTCATTATGTATCAAAATATCACATTGGGCCCCATGGACATATATAATTGCATCTAGTCAAACGTTTAAAGTAGAAAAAAGGAAGGTAAATGGATTAAATTTGCCATTAAAAAAGGCAATAGTTGACCGGAAACAAAACACAACTGTATCCTGTTTACAAAATATACACTTAAAAATTAATGATCCAGAACATTTAGAAGAGAAGGAATGAAAAAAAATACATTCCCTGTAAAATTACTGCTCTAACATTTGTTTTGGAGTACTAGCAGTAAAGATACTATTTAATGAAAAAATAATTTAGTGAAGTCATTGTTTGAGTTAAAAAGAAATATTCTGTAGGAAGATGTACTAGTCTTCACTGTGTTAACACCCAAATACTATATATAGTTTTATCTAGAAAAAACAATCATTGTGGAAATATATCAAATATGGACACAATCATTATTATAATGTATATTTTTTTAAAAATCTCCCTTGGCAAAAGATAACTATCCCTACCACATATGAGGGGTGATCAAAATTGTATAGTGAATGTTTACATTTAAATGTATTACAGTAAAAGACATGCTGCTATTCATTCCTTTGAAAATACTTCCCCTCCCTCCAACACACTTACCCCATCATTTTTGCCATTTCATGAAGCAATTCTAGAAGTCATCTTTCATGAGTGTCTTTACAAGGTATGATAAAAAATACAGTGAATGCTGCCACCCACGGCTGTCCCATGGAAAGACAATCTCATAAAAACATTAACACTGTACCCTCATCCATCTTATTAACTGAATCTAGTACCATGCTACTTCTGGCTCTTCCCAAAGTCAAAATGACTATAAAAGATAAATGTTTTGAATTAATTCAGGATATTAAAACAGCCATGACAACCCAACTAAAGACACTCATGAAAGAGGACTTCCAGAACCAAACAGCAGGATCAGTGTGTTCTAAGCGAAGAGATATATTTTGAGAATTAATGGCAAAGTGTCTTTTACTGTAAATAATTGTTTTAAATTAAGCTTTCACCATAATTTTTACCAAACCTCATATTTGGACATTAAAAACACACTATTGCAAAATCCATCCCTTAGTACCAAAGCCTTAACCCTCTGCCTCTTTGTCTTTCTGGTTGTCTCAGGCTTTGTCTCTGTCTCTGTTCTTTAGTCTCTGTCCCCCCTGTACCACTGCCTGTCCCGACTCTGTCTATTCTGCTCTTCTAATGTATTTAATTAGCATCTAGCTTGCTACATGTTCTTATAAAATGCATTTCATTTTGTAAGTCACAAAGTGGCCTGTTAGTAACATAGCAGTTTTATACCCATGGTGTAAGTCACTGGAGAATCACAACCTGTTTCTTATTTCCACTTTGAATAATTCTGACGAGTGACTCAGCTTGGTCTAGCTGTATCTGGTACTATATTACTCCTGGATCAGGGACTACTGCCGGACATAAGAAATGCTTCCAATGCAAACCTTGTGGTGTATGGTAAGGACGCCAGCATTTCTATGTACACAAGGGAAGTTATGATTCAGTCTAATGTATTACATGAGCCATTAGGGACAGTCTAATGAATACAGTGTTTTATAACTTTTGTGTTTGTACCTCTAATATATTTTTTAAAATAACTTTCTAAAAGGCTATAAAATGCAGATTCAGACATAAGCAAGCTCTCTTTGCATTTTACAAAGTTAAATACATATATATCTTGCTCAATAAATTATGGGGATAAAAACTTGAATAAAATGTGGCTTCTACGTAGCATAATGCCTGACACTTTTTGATGAACATTAAGTAATGGAGGAAGAAAGGAAGGAAGGAATGCGAAGGGACAATAATCTTAATGGGGTAGATATACAAAAATAATAATCTTCAAGACTGGAACTAAAGCCAGGTGTGTTGGCACATGCCTGTAATACCAGCACTTGGGAGGCTGAGAAAGGAGGATCTCCATGAGTTCAAAGCCATCTTGGTCTACATAGCAAAACTCTTGT